GAAACTCACAATAAATGAGAGCTGGTAATTAGGTATATAAAAGCTTTGTAGCTGTTTTTTTTTTTTTAAAAAACTGAATCATGTACCCAATATTGCCAAAGCAAAAAAATGAAACAAGGAACAAAGGTAAAAATCAAATATACTCGCAACAAAATACAATTTTCTAACTAATTCTAACATTTTTAGAGAAACCGAAGTTCATATTCTGAAGGAGAAACAAATAAGTTAGTAAGAAAACGACCAGATTCTGAAGCTTTACAAGAACTTTACCGGCTCCACCCCAATCTCAACGGCCAAAGTGTATGGTTTTTTCCAACGCTTAAAAAGTCTGCAGAAGGTCGTATTTTGTATGAGAAATCAGAAAACCATGTCTATATATATGATATGATTATGCAAAACCGATTTTCTTCTTTTTCGGCTTGGATTAAAGCACTTAATGGCAAGCGTTTTTTTAAAGGCAAAAAATCAGCATTAGCCAATATATTTTTAGAGCCTAGCTGTAGCGGGATGAACATTGGTCAAATAATCAAAGGAGAGGATTATGTATCTTATTTCAAAAGTATAGAGATAATTACATTGCTCTCTATCAAAAATAATCTCACCACGATTATCTGTAATGATGTGGAGTTTGCAGATATAACTCTCACAGAAAGTGATAAGGTTTTGCACCTTATTTTTTCTAATTCAGCAAAAAACGCGAAAAAAGAACTTCATATTAAGCAAGCGTCCCATGGATGTCAAGAACCTATCAAGTGCTCTATCTTTGTGAACGGTTGCGAAGTAGGCGACGATATTTTAAAGAAAAACGGAATCAGTAATAAAATTTTAACGATCAGTAATGTTTTTTCAATTGTGCGATTTTGCAAAAAATCGCGTGTTTGTATGGGACAATGCACTAAAGGTAATTCAGATTTATGTTTGAACAAATATAACTTCTTATAACACTATTTATATTATACATAGGATTTAAGCGAGCAACCCATTTGCGAGGTGATCATCTATATTCGAATTCCCTAGGATCTAAAAATGATCATAAGATTATTGCGAATTTAGAAAATCAAGGACTTGATAATGAAGCTTACCGCAGAGTTAACTGTACTCTTCTCATATTGGATGGAAACATATGTTCAAATTGCAAGATGTTGTGTAACACGTTATACAAAATTGAAAAACGGCATACAGATGGTATACAGTCCATTAAAACATCGCATGCATCCAGAGAAGTCCTAGCTGAACTTGTTCAGAATACGCGAAAAGTATTTATTGTGAACTAAGTTATTTATAATAAACAATAATTGCTAAATAAACATTCTTATATTAGGTCATCAAGTCCCAGAAAAAATTAGTCGAAGATCTTTATGATCGTTTAGAACAGAAGTTTGAAGCAGAAGAAGAAAATATATCAGAACCATTGACCAAGATCGTTTACAATGTAATTGAAGAAGTTAAAAACAAAGAACATGAAGATATACCGAATATTATTTTAAAAGAGCTAGTTCGT